AAACCCCTTCTGATAATTAAATAGTTTATCATTTTATTGTTTAACTAGAATCTGTCTATCTATTCGTACAATTGCTTTCGTTGATATTGTAGTGTCGGTTGACATGTTAAGCCCATATATCTTATCCTAGCTTTCCCACAAGCCAATCTATTCATTCTCCTTGAGCCACATTTTGACCTTGTCAATTATTCACTTGTCGATCTTCACTGTTTTTATATGAGCGCGTAGGTGTGTGTACACTTCTTATCCCATTCATCATATGTCTGTAACTTATTTTTGTGTAACTATAACTATTGATTATTGCTTGACTAAATGGAGTTGGATTACCCGTCATCTCCACTGCGCGTCGTTTTGCTTCTCTTTATTCAATTCGCTTCATATAAAAAATATATGTATTCACAAGTCCATTCTCGTTATTTGACATATTTAATTCCGTTATTGACTAACACTATTGAAGTCGATGATTATATACGAAAATAGGTGACATATACATTTCGACAGCAATCATTCATACGATCTACTTGGAGTCAGATCTCGGACCACTAAAATGGTGAGCCCTTTCGACAATATCGTCCGATGTAAATGATGAAAAAATAAAGAGCCCCACTAAAATATTGTTATTGATGTTCATCAGTTTTTAGCTTATTTACTGTTGTCTAGGGATACTTATCTATGTCAGTTCTTTGATAAAGTTTGATCAAGTGAGTACTGTGTCAAATGGAAGATCCCAAATGATGTAACTGTTCTATATATATATATACGATATCAATAAAATGTTGCCTTGAAAGTGATTTATTCTCAATGTTGTATAAATCAATAATTGTTCATTTATATTTATGATTTAGTTTGTAGAATTGTGGATGGAATGGTAACTTAATGTTTATTGTAAGGCGTCTCTATATTTTCATAGATTCTGCTATCAATATTCCTTAATGAACATTAACTAAATACATTTGAGATGGTGGAGAAGATTTATAGCTTAGGTGAATGATTTTGATGGAGTTTTGTTCTCTGAGCTGAATGGTTTAGTCGTGAAGAACGATGAAAGCTACATAAATAAACCATCAAGCTCAGAGAAAAAAACTCCATCAAAAACTGAATACATTGCTCATCAAGTGCCGAAGTTGTTCTCTACTATGTTGTCCAATACTGTAATAAACGTGCAAATAGATTTTGTATTCATTAATGGCGAGACTATAATTTATGGACAAACCAATTGGATTTACGATAACAGGTCTTAGGTTTTGGCGAGTAATTCACTCACCCATTTGACTAAACAGAGTCTTGGGCATTTTAGCCTGATGTCAGTTCGTGATGAAAATCCTAAATCTAATTCTTGACCCTAACCATCAACTATATTGCTACTTAATCGTCTTATATTTCATTGTTTAGTTTTGGTTAAATATTGTCTTAAATAACCGAGCGACAAATGTTGTGTTTTTTTTCTAGGCGTGATATGATCGCCAATCAGAATACGACTTATACAATCTTAACACTGTGCCAAACCAATGACGTGTTGACAAGAACCAGTAGACTAGAATCCTTATTAGTCCTTCTCGTCTAGCTCTGCATGCTGAATCAAGAACAGAAATATCTTCTTCCACTATATGCATCATACATTTCAGACATACTTGGTTTATATGCAAACAACCCAGACCGCATCACATCATAAAATAGAAAATAACAATTGTACAGAATCAAGCTAAAAGGTGACTGTGATTGTAGGAGACTGGAAGTAATATATTGGGAATATCTTAAGAATAGTAACTTGTATAATAATAGTCGATCGATCAAATAAAAGCTTATGATAAGAGGAATATAAATATATATAAGCTAGTTACTTAACAGTTACGCAATAAGAATATGTATATAATGACAGTCCATGAATATTTCCCGGAAGTTACCCATAGTTTAATCTTCTTCGGATATGAGAACAACAAACCTAATCCTGTCTGGATATTATGGAATTTAAATATTTTTGATTTTAGAAGTTTGTATGCTTTCTATTCTATTGTCTTCATTTAATTATGCGGTAATTGCCTCTTCTAAAGAATTCTTGTTCATTGCTCTCGTCTTAATGGTAATGCAAAATAATAAGGTGAAATAGGACATTCCGTACTTCAACTATGTCGCTTAAGACAAATAGTCTACCTATTTTAATTGAAAAAGCCTGATTCTCAGGAAACGGCTATTGACAACTTTAGGACACTGAAGATTTATTATATAATTTTCTTGGCACTCATTTAATAGTTCAACGGCACTACTAAAATATTGTCAAAATGTTGCAAAATATTGCATTTCGGCAATAAATATGTGGGCTATATAAATCCTAAGGATTACCGGTAGCTAATATCCAAGTGGTCGTAACTTTGAGCTGATATAAAGACGATTATCAAAGAAAACTGAATTTATAGGCAGAGATGAATGAGATCTAGAAGTGGAATCAAGGATTCGCGTTTCATCCGATTTTGGACTCGTCAGCTGGAAACGCGTGACCTGGATTCCACTGCTAATTACCATTCATTTGTAGTTATAATGCTAATGGCTTAAAGTAATATTGAGGCAAACACCACAGGATGTACATACACTAAAAAAGATAGATCAGTTGCAGTTCGGAAGTTTCGAACAACTAATGAAACCGAATTTACTTCCAAATTCACCATCTATTAAATATAACAAACACTAAGAATTCAATTGCACAAATTCTATTTAATCTAATAGGTATAACTGATTTCTATCGATAACTGCTTCAGTCTGTAGGAAGTTAAATCAATTATTCATTTTGATGATCATAAAAACACCGATATTCTTAACATAAAGTACATCATATTAATGGTAAACATAAGATAGCTTTTTGTGTCCCCCTGATTTGAATCTGATTTGGATAGACGTATGAATATACTATGTGCAGAAATCTTGCATTTAACTTCGTCTATTACCTAGGCGGTAGTAAGAAACTATACACGAGTCACATTGGAGGAATTTATTTTATGCATTAGTTTATCTAAACAAACATTCAAAATAAACGGCGGGAAATCGAAGCGAAGATGGCGAGTGAGTCGTCTTATCTTGACAAACCGTGACTCAATATTTATAGCCAAACAAAAATAAGCTGCAGACATGCGATGATTAGGATAAGCAATAAACACACATCAGTCGTTCGTCTACAACATAGGGCCAGGCACATATATGCATCGGTCGAAGTTGCAATACTTCATTAGTACAATAAGATGAACACCGAATTCATAGTAGTTACTTTAAAGGTAGTAAAAGAAAGATTACATATAGGAATGTAATAATACAGGAAGAAAGAGCTAACTCGTAAAAAGGAAGGTATAAATTAATTTTAATCTCACAGTTTAAGGGTAGACAAAGAATATGTACAAAGACGCTATTGTGATCGATTCTGAACCATGTCACACAGAGTCTCCAAACATTGGTTACAATAGTCACGCGAATCTGAACTAAGTAATCTGCATCTACCAACATGTCTAAGACTAAAAGTTAATAACTTCAAGCATGAGTTAATTGAAGCGAAACCATCATGGAAAACGTGGAAGTACTGAACGATCGTTTTGTCCTAGTGTGGGACTGCTCATCAGTGCACATCCACGATACCACCCCATTGGAATTCCATCAATAACTTCCTAGTAAAAGACATTTTTAGTAAGTGAACCCCCTTAATAAAACATTTTATTGGATTCATCAAGAAAACTAATGCTGATCTCAATTTGGTCATTTAATTTAATTCAGATTTGAACTCATTATGTGTTAACGACAGTTTACTCATTGGGAAAGTATTATTATATATTTCATCACTAAGACCTAATACATCAAAAGTCTTCTAAAGAGTAGATTTTCAAAACATCCTCAATTGAGTTTAGATGTAGAATTACGAGTAAATACGTTGGTTCCAGGTTGAAAGGCAACTGACATACAAATTTATTTACTTTCAATATAAAATATATAACGAACGTTTCCTCAGAATAAGCAAAATAATAATTAGCGCTTGGATATCTTCACATCTCTTGATAAATCAAATTAGTTATTAATGAAATCGGCGAGATGATAATTTATGGACGAACGAAATGGGTTTACAACAGCAGGTTTTAGATTTTGGCGAGAAATTCATTCATCCATTTGGCTTAATAGAGTCTTGACATTATAGCTGATATCAGTTCGTGATGAAAAACCCTAAATCTAATTCCTAACCGTAACCATCAACTGTAAATCATAATTCTAGTTCCTCGCACTGATTTATATCCCTAATTTGATCCCACTTATTAGGTGAACACTCTCAAGGTCACCTTAGCACCACTCAAAGGTCGTCTATATATTATAGTCTCATCACAAAATCAATCAAATTTTAGCCATTAGGTAACAGTTTCGAATCCGTTACATTTATAACGATTTAAGTGAAACGGTATTATCAATTTTACCTTCACTTCTATCTGAAGTTTATTCTAATGATGTCTTTTAGAAGAACAATGAAAAAGCTTCACGATCAAACTATCCAACTCATAGAACAAAACTTTATCAAAAACATCCACTTGAGATACAAATCTTCTCCACTATCGCATTATCACTAACCTTCATAACACAAAAGATGATTACACTCTCCTATACTTGGAAAGTAAATTACGTACCCAGAACAACTAAAACAAAATAATTTACAAAGAATGTTTAACATCACATATATAGTATGTAGTTGATTGACTAAATAATATACATATTTTCTTTTTATCAATTAACGTATTTATTATAGATCACAGTACAAATGAAACAATCACAATTACAATATAAGTAGTATAGAAGGAAATCGGTTAAAAATAAAATGTCAATGATAAGTAGTCGATAAAATAAATAAATAAATAAATAAATAAATAAATAAATAAATAAATAATCGATTTTCAATTTCATTTTGAAAAATTGTTTTACATCAATTTGAGTAAAATTAAATAATAATAATAATAATATCACAATATATATGTAATCTTAATGATACTACTAATTTTAGAAATAAGTAGTATAAATGTTTAAACTAAAATCGAAGGTTATCATATTTTAAAAGAGTACAAATCAAACTATTTTTTTGTTTGTTAATAAGTCATTCATGACCACTATGATCCAATGTATATTGATTAACAAAGAGAGAAAGAGAGAGAGAAAATACTAAGGATTATCTAAGAAGAAATAACTGAAGAGAATAACGAACTTTCGTAGATAATATTATGTCATTATTGTTTATAGGAAATGCATTTGTTTTTTTATTTTTATTTTATAGTTTATTCAATCAATATTGACATTATATAATAGATCATCATGATGTAGGTGGTTTTGGTTTAGCAAAACCCAAATTACTTTGATTGAATACAACACTACCTAAATTACCATAACTTTCAATAACAATTTCACCATTGGTAAACTATGAATAGAAAAGAATGAAGTAAAAAATAATTGAAATAGAGTTAATTTGTGCAAATATTTTTGATGAGAAAGGGCTTTTGTGATGATTGTAGTAATTTAATAGATGAATTCGTGAGTCAATTAAAGCTAGACTACTATGAGTTCGAAAGATCGGGGATACGCACTGCTGAAGAGTTTCATACTAGGATGAAACGGCCGACCAGTGCCTCCAAGTTTTCCATGGTGGTCTAGGTTCAATCGACTCATGATTTCAACTATTGAAGTTATTAAAATCTCCACAAAACACCTTCTGATAATAATCATCTGCTCACTTGTGACTAACTTCAAGAAACATTTCCTGGAGTTCTAGTGACAATCAGTGACCAGTGTAGTTCAACTAGGTCGGTTGTGAGATAACAGCTCACTGAAGACAATGGTGGACGGTGATGCAATTTCGTAGATTGGTTGAAGTTAGACATTAACACCGTCGGATGGTAGTCGGCTCAATGGTCTAGAGGTGAAGCGTTCGCGCGCGAGACTGATAGGTCCTGAGTTTGAATCTCGCGGGGGAATCGTGGATGTGCACTCTTGAGGAATCCTATGGTAGAACGAAACGGCCGGCTGTCCAGTGCTTCCAGATTTTCCATGGTGGTCTAGTTTCAATTGACTCATGATTTCAACTATTAAAGACCATATGTATAAATTTAGACCTATTTCATCGCAAGTCGGATACTACACAAGTTTAAATTGATATTAAGTCGTCAATGATCCTTGTAACTGAATGACAATTATAATTTGCTCAAAATAGTATTTTTATGTGATTTATGAATGGAAGGTGTAACTATCCTCACGCATCCCGATTCGTCAAAAAGATTAGTCAGCAACATCGCAGAGAAGTTCCTGAAATTTCGTGATGCCATTCAATGATGAGCCCATTTTATCAATTTAATCAACTTTTTCAGTAAAAATAGCTCTCCTCCTTTGCCTAGCTTACTTTTGATTAGAGTATACACTTCTTTAAGCTCTTGTAAGGATTCTCATTGTTATTTGACCGGTAGATACTTCGTGACGTATTCACCATTCTCGTGTTATTAACAGCTATTAACCTACATGGTTTTAAACCTTGATTGACGTTGGAATCATATCTGTTGCTTGTAAAAATAAATCCTCAAAGGATACGTCCTTTTTCTCAAATGTCTCGAGTCCGGACTTTCTCTTTTGTTAGCTCATATATGCATACAATTCTCCGTATCATAAATAAACATATTGACTAGAAGTACTTTGTAGTTTAAACCATCAATCGACCTCAACTAGATCCTCCCTGAAAACTTGTTAGAGCTAGATGGTTGTTTTGTCCTAGTACGAGACTTCAATGCTCTCAGGTTTTCAATGTTGGGCTTGACTACGATTAGTTTGTACTTGATCTATAAAAATTCTACATTTTCCACGAATCCTCTCATACTAATAAAAAAAAGATAAATAAAATCATTTATTTTACCTGAATATTCATACCAGAACAAGCTTCACGTAATGCTGTAAGAAAATTATTCACATCGTATACAGATACTGGATTAGATAAATCTTCATATCCGGCACCTGGTACATTCACTTGTTTTGTTGGTAATTGATCACGTTTAGAATAAAGTGGATGATGAGTTAATGTAGCATAAGGTAAACTACGACATAATGGATTCCACTTTTGTGTAATTTTTACATCATTTTCATCACCCCATTTTAACTGAACACCAGGTGAACTACGTATACTAAATACATAAACAAACAACGTTGTGTACAAATTAGTTAAAAATGGGTATATTGAAAATCGATTGATAGAATACATAATGAAATAATGTTGAAAGCTGGCTTACATAGTGTTTTAATATTGATAAGTCATTTGTTTGTCTATAACCCGACCGTTGTTGCTACCTAGACGTGGTGGTCGGTCTTGCCTATCCTGATGAAACAACCGAACTATACTGGCTGGAACAACTGTTCCTCAGGGTCCTACCATGTCAGACAGGTCGGTTGAAGAGCGGTAAGATTAAAAGCAACAAATTCAAGGTCCGAAGGCGAAGTCTTACCGCTGACTGCACAGAGGTGTGACAGCAGTAAGGTGTTTCTTTCAGACAACCAGCATGACAGCGATGCTGCCTTCCCACAAGGAGGGGTGGGGTTAGATAAGGTCGACCCTAACAATGCATACCTCGCCTTATCCCACGGATATCCGTCTCCAGCGGTAAGGTTTCAGCAAGTACGGGGCTGATATGAAAATTACTCGTAAAAAGGTCATGTGTGACCGACCTCAAGCAGTTGTCCCTTGGGCACTGCGGTCACGCTCTCAGATCACTAAGACCACCTCTAATCCACTTTCTTTTTCAGGCACCTCCAGAAGAACCTTTCCACGGTGTGGGCAACGGGAAGTGATAACCGCCTTCATATCTATAACAGCACTCAAGACCACTGTTGTTTGACTATAATACACTATGAAATGTCAGGAAATACTAAATTTATACTATTCCATAACACAAATGATAATCTCTTGGATGATAAGTCAGATACTTAACATAGTATATAAAACAACCTACCATAAATATATATATACCATAAATTCTATTTAGAATTAGTTATTCGTGACGGCCTACTTAAATATCTCGGCTACTTGTTTCTGTTATAGCAATTGAGTTTTGTTCACATTTAATTCGATTAAGTCATTTTGTTAACTTATTAACGAACTGCAGTTATCCGTACAACAACAACAACAACTTATCTATATCATTGTATCTTTATTATTGTTGCGAATGTATGAACATGTTATGCTTGAGCATTGCTTACTGCCTATGCATATATTTAATCTGCTAGCCTTTCTTATCAGTTGCTTAATCGATTCGATGTATATATATGTCCATATTATTCATATTCATTGCTCTCTTACTTATTAGCACTTGCTTATTTGTACTCGCTAACTCGTACTCGTATTCGCTGACTCACTCGCTTGCTTGCCTGCTTGCTTTTCCGCACAACTCTTTCATGCTAGCTTAACGCACCTGTAATTTTGGATATCTGTGTGTGGTCCCATAATAAACGTAACCAACACTGCGTATTCGCCTTCTGATTAATATACCGTTGGGGTGTTATCTAGTGACGGTTATCAAGACGAACTGTATGCGAAGTTTAAGTATTATATTGAATACCGACCACTACACTGTCATCTAGATATTTCAACAAAATATCTGTTTCCTTGTTTGTTTTAACAAATCATTATGTCAATTAATTGCCTTTCGTATTCAATTGCATTTGTGAAAAGTTCACGACCTTTCACTGTACAATTTACAAAAATGTACAATTAGAGACATCGTGGTTGTTGACATTATACATCGAAAAGAATATACATCATTCAGATATCGATTCCTGAACTACTAACATCTAACTGGTGACTACTCAATATGTTATCGTCAGGATGGATCAAGAAGTAAGAAACGGAAACTCTCTGGAATACTTTGTACTGAGAATTCTATATTGTACCAGAAATATGATAGTGAATAAAGCTAATAATAATGATAATAATGGATTCATTTCAATGTGTAACACTCGTTATAGTTGTGTACTAAAAATGGTTAACTATCATTTACATTCAGTAATGATAATATCACAACTGTTATCTATAGTTAGCTTATAACTTATGAAAAGTGCCTGAAAATCCTCAACATACTTTCGACTAAGCTTTTCTTTCAAAGAAATCCCTGTAAATGAAGTCGTAACTTTCATCCATATCATAATTAATACTTAAAAGAAATATGTTTATTGTTGTGACTTTAAATCCGATTAGTCATTATGTGATTTATTCGCCGATCGAAATACGACTTAGTCAATCTTAGTATTGTGCTAAACTAATGACGTTCGACCGATCTGATCAGCCTAGCGTCTTTATTGGTCCTTTGATCGCTCAGCCCGTCCAACTGAGTCCAGAACACCAATACCAGCTTCCACTATGCGAATCACTTATTTCAGACATACTTGGTTTATATACCAGCCAAACAGCCCACATCACACCTTATAATAGGAAATAACAATTATACAAGATCAAGCCAAGAAGTGGCTGTGAACGTTAGAGAAAGTAATCAATAAACTGAAGATATCTTATGAACAGTAAAGCATATAATAGTAATCTATAGGTCAAAATGAAGCTTATAATAAGAGGAATATAAATATACATATTCTAGTTACTGAACGGTTATACAACAGGAATATATGTATATAATATAAATCCATTAATAAGTCACAGAAGTTACTCGTAATTTAATCTTCGCTAGGATATAATATGTATTTCTTTTACTGTTTGTTCGAATTACTCATACTTTGTTAACTAAAATGTCTCCTATCACAAATCAAGATTCAATGTTAAACATTTACCAAGTTTTCCTATCATCGACTTCTCTGCATTACATAAAATAGTTTGAACTGTTCCTCATCCTCAATCCAAAAAGATGTTCATTCAGTAAAAATTTACAATCACAGTTTCAAGTTAGTGTGGCAATAAACATATTTTAAGCCGTAACCAGCGGAGTTCGATCCGCGTCGCCCAATACCATGGGTCAGACATTAACACCGTTGGATACCGGCCCAGTGGTCTAGAGGTTAGGCATTCGCGCTTGAGACCGAAGGTCCTGCTTCAATTCTCGTGTGAGGGATCGTGGATGCACAATGATGAGGAGTCTCACATTAGGATGAAACGGCCATCCAGTACTTCCAGGTATTCAATGATAATCTGGCATGGATTGACTCGTGAATTCTACTGTTAAAATATTTTAAGTTATTTATATACACACAATTACAGTGTTCAGTTAACCAAAAAAGAATTTATCCTTATTTATGTCTAGATACTCAATATCCATGGGCCGGATACCATCATCAACAGCCTGCTGTGGGAAATGATAAACTAGCTTCGGTCAACTGTTTTGTGTACGTTTGGTACTTGTAATCGTCTGTATAGAATGATACTCACTATACAGTGGACTGGCTTAAATTGAAACCATGAACTAATAGATCCTAGTAAATTAGTTCAAAGGTAATAATTTTATTATGATTCATCAATATCCTAAGTTCATATCCTATCACAGTCATGAATGAAGACTATTAATGACCTATTCCTTTAAAGAATCATCCATTCAGTACTCATCAGTTTACTATAGTTTTACAGATTGATGAAAAACATCTTCCCATTAAAATAATTTTCACAATTTACTCAATTCAATCTAGTTTCATCGAAGCAGTACCCAAGGACCTCCTAATCAATGTTGGCCCACCAACAATTGAAGAAATCAGCAGGACCAGACAACATTCCAGCAGAGGCACTGAAAGCAGACGTAGCAGTTACTGCAAGGATATTCCGCATTCTCTTCAGTAAGATTTGGGATGAGGAACAAGTACCAACAGACTGGGAAGAAGGACTTCTGGTCGAAATACCAAAGAAAGGAGATCTCAGAAAGTGCGATAACTACAGGGGCATCACTCTTCTCTCAATACCGGGAACAGTCTTCAACAGGGTATTGTTAAACAGAATGAAGGACTCCGTAGACGCCCAACTTCGAGATCAACAGGCAGGATTCCGTAAGGATAGAGTAACAGACGTAAGTAAGCCATTTGATTTGAAGGATAAATTAAAAATATTAAAAAAATTAAAAAAAATAGAAAATCACTTACGGCATTAATGATTTTGCTGGAAATACAAGTGGTCCAGTTATAACACTAATCAATTGTCCAAGACCTACACGACGACTATCACGTACACGACATTGAAGAAAATCATATCTTAATATATAGAAATTTCTTTCAGTTAATACAATTAAACGTTCATGTTCATTATTCCAATGATCAATGCTACAAAATTATATTTGAAATATTATATGCAACATTTATATTAAATCTTTTTTTAAAAAAATTGTTCTGGTTAAGTACCATATTCTCATAATATCCATGGTTACATTAAGGGAATAATTGTTTATCCAGTAATTTATATATTAAATTCAAGGTTACGACAAATTGTTTTTGTATACATAAAAGGGGGGGGTAAATTTACGAATAGCCAAGGCTTCAATAAACTTGAGAATTCGTCCTTGACAATTTCCATACAACGTTCTAAAAGCTGTATTAATGTCAATTTTGTGCCCCGTTTCAATTATATGTTTCGTTATCGATGAACTTGGTTTTCTACCTCCCACATTGATCGGCTCATTTGACACACATTGATTTTGAAGCCATCTAGACACATGTTCAGTGATCCTTGATTGCATTGTTCGATTACTGCTCCCTATGTATGTGTGTCCACATAAACATGTAAATTGGTAAATACAATGGGATGTGACGTAATCATTAGTGCATTGTTTGGATCTATTAGGAATCATGGGCTTAGACTTTTCAATCACAACCAAATGATCAGCATAAGGGGTATTCTCGATGGCTGCTTTCAATCTCGGTCTTAAAACTATCCTGTTGGATTCGTCTCTTTATGGTAGATTGATATAAACTTTCCTCTTTGGAACAAGAAGTCTTGGCAATAACCGACTTTTGCACCTATTAATAAACTTTAGTGGATAACCATTAGCTATTAATGTGTCAGTCAGTAACTTTTCATCTTTTTCCACCGTGTCAGAAGTACGAATTCTTTGAGTCCTCTTAAAAAGACACTTAACCAGGCCTCGCTTGTATTTCAATGGACAAAAACTATGGAAATTTGAGTATTGTCCCGTCCAGGTTTTTTTCCTATACACTGACCTTTTAGAACGTCGTATAGAAATTGTCAAGGACGAATCCTTAAGTTTATTGAAGCCTTGGCTATTCGTAAATTTGTATATTAGTTTAGTGGTTCTTTGTATCTGACTCCAGTGAGATCGTATGAAATTCTAACTAATAATCCTATGAGGATATATGAACAATCAATAAATATGATGATTTAATAGAAAGATAATAATAATAGATTATGCAATGTATGCAAATGAAAAGCCTTGTAATAATTTGTTGAAGTTTTGTTCCCTGAGCTGGATGGTTTGGTCGTGGAGCTCTCATCGTTCTTCTGAATGACATCATCAGCACAAACTTCAGATAGAAGTGAAGTGTTCGAATTTTTCCACATGTGGTTTACAGCTTGTGTTGTACACCTTGATGTTGATTGATTAACCTCAAACCTATCATTGTTCACTTATTTCGTTTGGTTTTATCTCCCATTGGTCTGATTTTTGTTCCTATGTTTGTACATAATTTTCTTGATTGGTTGATAAATTGGATCGATTTCAATGTGCTTGTTGATTGTTGAGTGCCAAGCTTCTAAAAATTCTCTGGTATTTTTTTAATTGCCTCTATTCAAAATTTCCACATTTTTCTTGTCGAATGTGTCCGCAGTTGTCCAAGTGCATTAATATAAATGAGGACATGTTACCGTGTTTGACTGTTAATCGATGTTCATCCAAGCGACGATGAAGAGGGCGTTCGCTTTGTCCGATGTAGTGTAATACCGATGAGTTAACAACAGACTATCATATGAATATGGTAAGATAATTAGTGGTTTTTGTCACAATAATAAAAGATAATAGAAGGGTTAAATAAAATAAGATGTTATTAGAAAAACATTATGAATAAAATCTTGGGGATAAGAGAAATAATTGAGAAGAGAGGGGGATATATTCAAATCCGTAGATCAGTTGAAGTTATATATAGTCAATTCTTGTATATAATTATCAACTTAGGTCACGTTAGTGAATATAATGGAATTAAATAGGTAAAATAGGAGGATGGATTTTTAAATACATTTGAACAGACAATCGGAGGAATGAAGCGACGAAAACAGAACGAAACGAGATAGCGCGCAGTGAAGACGGAGTGTGAGCCAACTCCATTTAACTAAAAGTTAATTAATCACACAAAAATAAGCTACAAACATGTGATGAGTAAGATAAGATGTACTTATATAAAAACGATCAAGGTTGATAAGTGAATAATTGACAAGGCCAAAACATGACTTAAGAAGAATAGATAAATTGACCTGTCCAGAAGCTATAATAGGTAGCCATTGACCTACTAAGTTTACTATTGATAATATAAGACTCGTTGATACGAAACAAACTGTCAAGTTAAACTTCTATACAAAATGTAAGGGGGGCGGCCAAACGAAAACGTGGCATCTGCTTTAACTGACTAACTTGTGGTCTGATCCATGTTGATAGAAACAGACCACTCGGTTGGGGTCCGCGTGACTATCGTAACCAATGGTCGGAGACTCTGGGTGACATGGATCAGAACCGATCACAATGGCGTCTTCCCTTAAACGATGAGATTAAAGTTATTTCATATCTTTCTTTCTGTACTATATCCTCGCATAAAATCTTTGCTTTATAAACTACAACATTGAGTTAACTGCTTCTTTGAATCCGGTATTCATCTTGCTGTGCTAATGAAGTGTGGTACATTGGACCGATGCATGTATGTGCCTGATCTTACGTTGTAACTGACTGACTGACTAGGCTCAGTTAGCTAGATCAAACTAGATTTTAGAAAGAATTTCATTTACTCAGTTTACTCAACTCTCGATAAGATGATGTTACTAGCCAAAGAAATTCAAAACCCAACGTCATTCATTCATGTTGCTAAGATTTCGTAAATAATGTTTTTATGCAAGAAACAGGAATGTACACATATAGAGGATTGATAGGGCTTCCGTTAAACTTTGTGTGATAGTCACTGTAACGAATTGAACTACTACTTATATTTGTCAACATAAGTAGCATACACCACAATAGGCATTAGATATGTATGTAATAAACATATTAACTTTCGATAATCGCTTAGGATGATGTAGTTACTCAAAGTTGCTTATTAATTAATCTGTCAACTCAACTTCTGATAAACACATCAAAAGAGAGGCATTAAAATAAATGACTTACAGAGTAAGAATCCACAATGCAATAAACGCTCCATCCTCTGGAATAAGAACAGATTCACCAATGTAATGAATCAATTGTTGCATATCCTCCTAATTTATCAATAAAAAAATATCAATCAGAAAAAAAATGTAGAAAAGCTGAACAACAATTATCAAAAATGCAAAACAAATTCGTAATACTGTCAAGTGAATAAACTGTTAGACGGTAATCACACCACAATTCGTGGTTTTAGTAGTATGGATATTGTAGATCATCGAATACCAGCTCACTAATAGTGGAATAGTGACACGAACACATCTACGTTTGAAATGTCTGGGTTTAATAACTATTAGTTTTAATATAAATTCCATTCTCAGACTAAAGATGGGTCATATGCATTATGGTTTTCAGTGACTGTCTACTTAAAGTTAGTTTATGGTTTCTGTAGCCTTAGAAATGAGGAGTGTTCATAAACCTCACACCTAAGGGAATCTTATGGACAGAAAAATCAGCAAGTCTCTTTACCGTTTTTAGAGAACAGAAACTCATTTGTCACATATAGAGAATCAGACCTGAGTTACTGAATGATAAAAATCATCCCTATTAATATAAACAGGACACCACTTCTCACGAATCTGTTATCATTAAACTTTTCATCTGACATATAATCTCCTAATTTTCATTGACAGTACTTTAGGTGAGTAGCTTGTAAATTTAAAGAAACAAAACGTCCATATGTGCTTGACATAAGTCGGAGTGATATAAGGCTAACCTCTGCTAGTTAAATGATCAATCTGTAGGACTTAACTTTTCAGCCAAGGTTCGGTTTGAAGTCTACTTTCAGTAATTACATTTTGGCCACGATAACTTAAAGGATACCAATTTCGGGTCTACAACTAATGATACACACACTTATATACTACTGTAAGCTTTAAAAGTAGCTAAATAATACACGGTAGATTAATTCAAAGTTGTTCACCTTCACGTGAAACAGAAGTTCAGATCTAATTTGCAACAGTTTGAATTATCCCGTTGTTGGTATTCTTGACTGAACTGTGATCAATGTTAGTTGGTATACATGTGGATCACTTAAACAGACACCTGAAACGAAAGGCATGGTGTTCGAGTTCTTGTAAGAATACAGGACTTGGGTATAGGTATGTCCATATGGAGAGCCCCAAATAGGACGAAACCCGTGTTTTCAACCTAAATGTTAGCCACAATTCATGTATTCTAGAAGTTCATTTTATCTTTTGTTTACAATTATGAACACTATTGTACTTGGAAAACCCAGTTTAATCACATGAATATTTTCCATAATTTCATGTCTCTAATGCTGTCTTCACAAACCTCTTAGTCAAAAAAAGTCATTTCCCATCAAAGTTTGTTAACAGAAACATTACCATAACCTCAAATTTCAAGTTTATAGTATAAAACAAACCCTCAAGTAGCTTAAGTACCTACAAATATAGTGTGATAAAGAGTATAGGGATACAAATAAGACTCAAAAGATTTGATAAGATAGTACAAATAAATCACATTGCCAAGACATAGTAATAATAAAGTACTTTGGGGTTTGTGATAACTAATTAAATGACTTGGGAAATAAACAAATAAGTTGATAACAATTAAGAAATAATATGCCTGACATGTAAAGATCATCGCTGGTTATGTAATGTTACAATATAAACCATAGAGGAGTTAAAACTCGGCTAGATCCTTGATGAATAGCCTATCTTCAGTTCTTAAATATTTTCTAAGACATTCCTCATTATTATTGAGACCCAATATGAACATCAACCCTCGGATGCGGCTATATCCAGTTTACGTGACCTGAATAGGACGAAACCCTCATCTTAGATTGTGCTTTTAATCACAACCCATCTATTTTGGAAATCTTTATCATGATCACTTAATGTTATCAAATGTTGGATGTAGAAGATCAATTCCTAAATATCTAATTATGAATGGAGGTTTTTGTAGATTGTAATGTAAGGAATAGTGAAAGGAATAAACCATATTTATTATCCTTCAATATTTTTAATTGTCCTCTTTCGTTGAACAAATACATGTTTTCAGTTAATATCGTATCTTTAGTTAACAGGATGGTTAAACATAATGTACATATATAATGGAACATTATTGAAACATTTAATATCTGCCGATATCAACTTAAAGGTTTTATATAATATTTCCTTGATGAAAGTGTTCTCTATTTGATAAGGTAACCAAATTCACTGAACATTCAATAAGTACTCAGATAAACATCATTCATTGGTTACTATAATTTTTCAAATGAATGTTCAGTCAGTCAGTGGGCTACAATGTAGGATCAGGTGCATATATGCATCGGTCCAAGTTGCCATACCTCATAAGTACAACAAGATGAACACCAAATTCCTAGAAGTAGTTACTTCAGTGGTGGTAATATATAAAAGAAAGATTGCGTGTACGGATATAGTACGGAAAGAAAAAATTATTTCGTAGAAAGAAAGATCTAAAGCAATTTCCATCTTATGGTTTAAGGGTAGACAAAGGGTATATACACCGACGCCATTGTTATCGATTCTGAGCCATATCATCCACAGTCTCCAACCACTGGTTACGATAGTCGCTCGGATCTCAACCAAGTAATCTGCATCTACATTAACATTAACATTCAAATGAATATTAATGTTATTTCATATCCAACGTAATAAATATTGATTTAAAACTTTGTTGCTAACTCCGCCTGGAGCTTCTCTTGGGCTGCTGCCCGTCCAAAGCCCAGATAAAGAAGGATGGTTGGGCATGGGGTTAGCGAACCCATCCCATAGAAAACTAACCCGCTTAAAAAACGCTAACCAGAAAAAATTATCCAAACGATAACCAGTTGTTAGGACAGTGGTTAAGATTATTGATCTATAAGAACGATTAGAAAAAGTCTATTCACTGACCAAGTTATGTCACGAAAAAAAAGATTAAGGAACCTACAACCTAACCAAAAAGGCATAATAGTAATACGTTTTTTCATACACATATTTCCTTCAATCACCTTAAAGAGAGCAAGGACGAAGATTAGTGCATAATAGTAAATGGATTCATTTTATTTCGTTAGGTTCTCATCTGCTGTTTATAACCTAAAATATATGAAAATCAACGTTATTATCGATATTGACATACTTATTTATACATAAAAGGGTGATCAAAGATGTACCATGATGTGGTGAAGATTCCGATAGAGTTAATGGGGTCATAAAAATTGTTTGTTTTGGATAAATAAAGTTTAGGGAGGAAAGTTCCAGAACATTGAACTAATGATTAGAACTCATGGAGGTAACAAACATTAGATGATTATGTCATGAAGTAACTGAAAATAGATTAATGATAATAAAGAAGGATATGAATTGAAATCATTTAGTTATGAGTTAAACAAAAATGACAATGATGCAAATAAACTTCAGAAAATGTTAAAATAATGAATGACGTAAGGGGGTTTAATGTTACCAGTGTAAAGAAAGATTTATTACTTTCTCTTTTTGTATACACACATCTGGTTTTAGACGTTTGTTTGCTATCGCTTCGGCAAATTTCAAAAGATTGGAGTTTGATTGTTTGTTAATCACCTTGAAGGACTTCAATGTATCGATTTCATGTTGTGTGTCAAGGAGATGTCGTACGATGGCACTGCTGACCTTATTAACTCTGTTGAAGTCTTCGCCACATCATGATACATCTTCGATCACCCTCTTATATATAAGTATGTCAATATCTATAATAAAGTTGATTTTCATATATTTTAGGTTGTAAGCAGCTGATGAGAACCTAACGAAATAAAATGAATCCATTTATTATTCAGCACCAATCTTCGTCCTTGCTCTCTTTAAAGTAATAAATTAATTGATAATACTCATAATCATTATACTACTTATTATCAAAATCTATATTTCAATAGTTGAAATCATTAGCCGTATCGTACTAGTATGGGACTCCTCAGCATTGTGCATCTACGATCCCGCCCCTCACGAGATTCAAGCCCAGGACCTATCGGTCTCGCGCGCGAGCGCTTAACCATTAGACCACTGAGCCGGTGTTTCCAAGTTTTCCACGGTGATCTAGCTTCAACTGACTCATGATTTCAACTATTGAAATTTCTAAAATCTCCACAAAACCCCTTCAGATATATAAATGACATTTTTCACAAAAAATAAAAGAATAAAAAGATAAACTAACCTGTGTCATATTCATTGGAGCTTTTCCTATATCTTCTTTATTATTATTTATTCCAAATTTACTCATTTGTGGTATTTGTGGCATTGAAACTTGTGGTGTTGGAATTTTCTTTAATACTTCAGTGAAATTCATTTCCTTCGAATTTATTAAAGTAAAAATTATTTTCAAAGAAAACAAAACGATCCTTTTTCACCCCTCTTTTTGTGAATTTACTTCTATAACACAAAACTTTCTGTATTGATTATGTGTAAAATATATTTTGAGAGAACCAAAAAAATAGGGAAATAAACAAACAAACAAATCGATCACTTTCAACTTGAACCCTTCAATGCTCAATAAATAATGGGTGTATACAGAGGAAATTTCGACTCAGCTTTTTTTCTTCCTTGAAATGATTTTTGTATCTTCTTTTCAAACTCATTTGACCTTTAAAAAACTTATTGATTAATTATTATACTCTATTTATGATTGGTTAGTTATTTTTTTATGCTTCATTATTAGAACCAATCATTGATAAGCTTGAATAAGTTTTAGTTTCCTAAATAATTTGTTACCCCACCCCCCTTGTATTATTGATTTAAAAAGAAGTACAAATATTGATTAATGAAATAATATGAAAATTAATAAAAAGGGAAATAAATAAAGAGGATCTTAAATATTTTTAGGTTTTACATAGAGCAAGAACAAACATTCTAGTAGAATAGCATGAATTCATTTTTATTTTGTCTAGTTCTCATTAACTGCTTACAATCTGTGATATTCAAGAGTCATAAATATATAATGGGTTTCAAATTACTTTTATGAGAGGGCTTAGTTGGAAGTTAATATTGAAGACACTTTAGCAAGGGTGTAAATAAATTGAATAGACTGCGGCCTGTTTGAGCATCTGGGCTACCTGTTCCTGCCATTTAGATATCTCAACAAGTTATCTATTTGTGTTTGTCTTAATATATCATTATGTTTATTGATCGCATAACCTATTCTGCTGCGTTTCTGAAAAATGTACAACCTTCCGTTGTCAAAGTTACAAAAAACTCAATAAGAGACAATGTGGTTGCTGGCAATATACAGCGAAAAGAATGCACATTATTCAGATGTTCATTTACTGAACTGCTAACATCTAACTGGCGATCACTCAATATTTATCGCCAGCACCGACCAAGAAGAAAGAAACGGAAACTTGTTGAAAGACTTTGTGCTGAAAATTCTATATTGTACCAAAAATATAATACTGAATAAAGCTGATTATAATAATTATTATTATATTGTACCTTATGTAAAAGAATATTCTACAAGATTGATTGAGACAACAGTCCAAACAGCTAGAAACAAGTGATTACATAATGAGTAAACATTGATAGGAATATAGTGAGCAGAGCTCAGTTGATAAAATATGATTACAAATTTGGAAGATAGTTGAAATAAAACTCAATGATATGATAAGTGCAAGAAAGAGTTTAAAGAAAAATGAAAAAAATATTAAGATACAGCAATGGAATATTAGTCACCATCTCCTTTTGAACACATAAATCAAGCTTTAGGCGTCTGATAACAACTGCTTCAGCAAACGTCAAAAGACTGGAGTTTGGCTGCTTACTAATCACGTTAAATGATTGTAGGGTATCGACCTGATATCCTGTATCAAGGAGATATTTGGTGATTGCACTATTTAAAGTCTTACTTTCTCTTGTTTTAAGGCTTTTTGGAACATGTTCAAAAAGTCTGAGATATGCCCTTATTTCTGTTCGGCCAATGTATCTGCTTTGGAAGGTACACATAAATTTATAAATACAATTGGCGGTAACATAAAAAGGATGCTTATCAACCTTTGATTGAGTTATTGAACATGTTGTTTTATACAGAATTAGAAGTTCATCATTATTATGATATTATCAGAAGGGGTTTTATGAAGATTATAGTAATTTGAATAGTTAAGATTATCAGTTAATTGAATTTTTCCAGTTTTCTATAGTGATCCAGCTTCAAAACAACTCATGATCTCAATTATTGATATTATGATATTTTATAAAGGCTAAAGTAGGGCATATATTAATGAATTTGATAATGTTATATTGTTAATAATGTTGAACGTTTGTATTTCAAAATTGTATTATTTGTAAATTAGAAAGATCAGAATGATTTGGAGTAAAGTGTCAAGTAACAATCAGTATTATAGTAATATGACAAAATGAAAAAGAAATGGAATCACCCTTAGGCTAGATTATTACTGTCGATACATAGATGAGACACTAAATGCATGTGATGAAAATATTGACAAAAAAGAGATGTTGAACTGTTTTAATAACATCCATCCAATTATTTAATGCACTAGTGAAGAGGAGAAAGACAATAGTATAGCTGTCTTAGATGTCGTACTTTCTAGAAGGATAGATGGTTCCATAAAAAGAAATATATTTAGAAAAAATACATGGACAGGTCAGTATACTTATTTCCATAGCTTTACACCTGTTCAATACAAAATAGATTGGGTTAAATGTCACAGTCGCAGAATCAAGCTATATTGTACTGAGGATAGTGTAGATAGCCACATAGATATACTAAAGAACACATTACGAAATAACGGATGTCCAGATAATTTTGTCAGAAAATTCCTCGTAGAAGATAGTAAAACAAGAAGAAATTGTGACTTGGTCAGTAAAAAAAAACCATTTCTGAAACTAGACTTTAAAAGGGAAATAGTGGGTTACATTTTAACGCATCGACCCAAAATATTTGTTGAAAGGACTTTTCATACCGCCAAGTTACACATAATTTTCTCGATTAAACTAGTACTTACACGACAAATCAAGGATAGGTTACCGATAATGAGTTTCTCCATATATGTATACAAATCCAACTGCTTCTGTGGAGCTAGTTACATAGGCCGTACTCAGAGGGCTGTGTCCTTGAGTGTTCATGAACATGTACCAGAATAGTTGGAAAAGGAGTTATTAAATCGATCAAAAGTACTACTCTTTCTCTTTTGGTAGATAGTGAACATCATGTCAAAATAGAGGAAGCTTTCCCTGTTTTATATCAAATTCCAAAGGATATACCTCAAGGAATTAGATGACGGTTACTCTATATGGCCGAAGCCATCTCGATCAACTCCAGAAAAACAAAATTATGTATCCAGGCCAACGACTGGAGCACCGGATACCTGAAGTGTGTATTATAAACCACATACCCCCTTCCGAATTTTTCGGTTACATCTTAACCTTCGCATTCGTCTGTCTCAATTCATATGAATTCTTTTTTATCGTAACTACCTTCATAACACTCCTCTTATTATATATCATGTTCACACACCAATATTATTATTACGATTGCTATCATCATTATTACAATACTGCGTATTGTATTCATACGTTTTTTTTTCCATTTTTCCTTCTTCTTATATTATTATTATACTGGACTCCGCCTGTAGCTCATCTGGAGTTACTGCTGTTCCCAAGCCCGGGTAAAGGAGGAGGGTTGGGCATGGGATTAGCGTCCCCATCCCGTAGAAAACTAACTCGCTAAAAAAACGCTTACAAGAAAAAATAATTCAAACCATTTAAACTCTGCCCTGAAAGTTAGGTTTTCATTTAGAGGAATCAGGACGCTTCGTGGTGAAAGCCGAATTTCTTCGGAAGCCACGAGCCCGATGCCCCTTCTAACAACCGGAGTAAACATTTTTATAGGTACATGGAACGTCCAAACAATGTGGGAGACCGGGAACACCAGTCAAATAGCAACGGAAATGAGGAGATACAACTTGGCAGTACTGGGAATCAGCGAAACCCACTGGACCCAAACTGGGCAGAAAAGGCTAGCTACGGGAGGGATGCTGCTATACTTCAGTCACGAAGAGGAAGATGCTCCACACACTCAGGGAGTTGCTCTAATGTTGTCCAAAGTAGCACGAAATGCACTTGTAGGATGAAAATCTCACGAATCCAGAATCATCAAAGCATCATTCAAAACAAAGAAGGACGGGATCACAATGAATATTATCCAATGTTATGCACCCACCAATGATAGCGACAACGACATTAAAGATCAATTCTACGAGCAGCTGCAGTCAATCATAGAGAAATGCCCAAGAAAGGACCTCACCATTCCGATGGGATATCTAAATGCCATAGTCGTAATAGGCAACACCGGATATGAAGATACCATGGGACGACATGGACTGGGAGAAAGAAACGAAAATGGAGAAAGATTTGCAAATGTGTGCATTCAACAAATTGGTCTTAGGAGGCACAATATTTCCACACAAACGAATACACAAAGCTACATGGATCTCACCGGACCACACTACAGAGAATCAGATAGATCATATTTGCATCAATAAAAAATTCCGAAGGACAATGGAAGATGTGAGAACCAGGAGAGGAGCTGAAATAGCGTCAGATCACCATCTAGTTGTGGCCAATTTAAAACTGAAGCTAAAGAAAAACTGGACAAGTGGACAAGCAGCACTACAAAGGTTCAATACAGCCTTCCTTCGAGATACTAACAAAATCAACGAATTCAAGATAGCTGTCAACAATAGGTTCCAAGCCTTACAGGATCTACTGAAAGAAGAAGAAACTACTATGGAGGACAACTGGAAAAGTATCAAATAGGCATTAACTTCAACGTGTCAAGAGGTTCTGGGCCTAAAGAAACACCATCATAAGGAATGGATCTCTATAGAAACACTGGAAAAGATCAAAGAAAGGAAGAACTAGAAGACAGCAATTAACAAGAGCCGAACACGAGCAGAGAAAGTCCAAGCACAAGCTGAATACATAGAAGCAAACAAGCAAGTGAAGAAAAGCATTAGAGCCGACAAGAAGAAATATGTGGAAGAACTAGCAACGACGGTGGAAAAAGCTGCAAGGGAAGGAAATATGAAACAACTTTACGATACAACGAAGAAACTAGCAGAGAAATACAGTAAACCAGAGAGACCGGTCAAAGACAAAGAAGGCAGGCCAATCACTGAAATTCAACAACAGCGGAACAGATGGGTAGAATACTTCGAGGAACTCCTGAATAGGCCGGCTCCAATGAATCCACCGGACATCGAAGCAGCACACACAGATCTTCCCATAGACGTCAACTCACCAACGAAGGAAGAAATCAGAATGGCCAGTCATCAGACA